AAGGGCTGCCGACGGGATGTGTCGATCCCCCCCATCAACAAATTGGCAAGTAGCCAACAGGGCAGAGAGCGCGTCCTGGGGAGAGGCGCAGAGACATTTTCTTTCCAGCGCGTAATCGATTGACTATGCCGTCGGCATCCCTTTAAAAAGGTTTATCGCCGTTTAATTCTGAAATTCTGAGCCCGGTTCCAACTATTCCGGGAATCATTCCGGGAACCTATTCCGGGAACAATTTTGTATGGGAAATTGGAATATGTGTATTGAATGGGAATGTATTGGAACCGGGCTCTGGAAGGATCTGGATTGAATGCCATGTCAGCATTTATTCTTCACGAGTGGCAAGTGTGAAAGGCCGTTCGCTGCCTCTGAAGATCTTCGTCTTGGTTCCCCACAAGGGTCCAAAGATCGGGCGCAACGTACTTTCGCAAATCTTCTCAGATTTCGCATCAAATCCCTGCGTCAAGGCATAAATTCTGCGGTGCTGAAAACGGACCATGCTTAATTTCGGGCTTTAGAAAAGCTAATTCAGATTATCGTGGCATTATGGGAACGAGGGCACCTACCATCTTCGGGGGCGCGGAATAATTGTCGAAAAGCATCGTTTCTTTCGGCAACCGAACGGATTCGACGATTTCTTCCAGTGTTTTCGAAAATTGACGATGAAGGGCTTCCTGAAGGGATACAGATCAAAAAGCCTTAGCAACCAACGAACCTGGACCTGTTGTGAAAGTTCATTGACCAGCGTTAGATCGACAACCATCATGAAAATCCTAGTTTGTTTACCTTGAGCTGGATGCTGAAAAAAACGCGAAAATTCTAAGAGACCCAAACCTCGGCCTTCCGAACCGAATACCGTACCTTGTGGATGAAAAATGTGAGGAGTGCTTTGAGAACATCCAGCAGTGGCTCGATATGATCTCGATGACGGATATAGGGCCCCAGCCCCAGTGCGCGCAACCCAACGAGCTAAAACCAGCAATAAAACTCTTAGAGGAAAAAGGAAAGTAAAAGCCACCACCCTAAATACGGAAGACGAAGCGAAATCGTTTGGATGTCGGGATTCGCTTACCTTTTCGGCCCAATTGAGAAAGTCTGAGATCGGAAAGTCGACGGCGCGAAAACGTTCAGACCATATCGATAAAATCTTTTCGTTCTAAAACAATTTCGAAAAACGAGCGAGAATATTGGCGAGAACCTTGAGTTTAATGTGACTTAATAGTGATGGTCACTAGCCTATTCTATCCGCATACAAGAATCGCTTACAAAGTCGGGCCTCTCGCGAAGGTGAGCCAAAATGCTCGTCATACGTGTCAGCTGAAATCACCGTAGATATGCAATTGAAATCTCGGCGCCCTCAACAATCCGCACAAGTACCTGGAATGCGCCGCTGCTAAGCGCCATGGAGCGGCGTTGAGCATTCGGAAGCTTAGGGATGATGGAGGAAAATAAATTTCGATCATCGCGGCCCGACCGCGACGCGCAAAAATGGAACCTCTGGTGATCGGCTCTAAACTTTTCGAGTAGCCTGAACCATGTTTCCAAATCCGCATCGTGCATCGTGAAATCCCTGGAAGCGACAAGGCAATCATCCCCGCGTCAGCGCATAAACCTACCGTGTTTTCTTCGTCTTCTTATTTTTCGATCTGAGCAGGATCGAGGGTTTGCGACGTGAAATGTATTCAATTATAAACTGGGCTCCTGGCTCAACTTCGATATCCGCACGCCATGTCTGCAAATCCTAACATTTTTTTGCAATTTGCATTTTTCTTACATCTCGTCGGCCCAGCCTCATCGTACGCACGGGTCCAGACATCAGTGGAATGCGGCGCGAAGCCCGTACAAACAATGCCTTAAAAATCTACGGTCACGCTCAAATGTTATATTTACCTTATTAGCCGCCCGAAAACGATACTTTGCAGCCGGATTCATCTTGTCGTAGACCATCGGCAATAAGGGTAAGGGCAGCTCCTTCACCGAAAACTTACCGAACATGTTTTCTGAAATTAAAGCCAGAACGTACGGATTTTAGCGAAAATTAATGAAATGAAACTATGTTAAATCCTGCTAAGTCGATTATTGAACCAGCCTTTTAAAAAGATTTGAACGTTTCGGGGATTGTTGAAAACTAGCATTATCGGGTAGCAAGCACTGGGCCGGCGAATTGTTGACCCGGATGACACCTGCAGAAATAGCCCTAGGTGCTGTTTGTTAGGTCAAGTCGGGGAATTACATGGAACGTTTGGCGCTTGCCCAGAATTTATCTAGTACTTTATTAGTCCGCTTTGGTACTGTTTTCATGTACTGTAAAGCTGGCCATTTTTTATTTTATGCTTGTGTAAATGTTGAGCAGGTACCGGGATTTCGGGACCATTCGCCTTTCCTAATAAATTTCTTTATTCAATAAGCAATGGCATAAAGAAACAAAAATCAATAACTTTCTGTTGCGTCATCGGATTCTGGGCCGTTGAAAACGGTCGTCGCGGAGCCGAATGTGCCTCCAAGCTGCTTTCGCAGCCACGAATTCCAATATTCCTTGGATCTCGTTCTACATCCTTGCACCAAAACGAACAGTCTTCGTTCCTGAAAACATTTCAGTTTATTAGTTCTTTACATAATTTGTGCTTGTTATATGACAACCTACCATTTTCGGGGGCGGTGAAAAATTCTCTATGAGAGCCGCTCCCTCCGGTAGATCCAGAGACGCCATTGTGTCTTGCAACCTGGCAGAAAATACTCGATCATCCGCCCACTGAAACGAATTCTTTTGTACATACAAGGGACACCGTTAACATATCTGGTTGCTATATAATTTTTCTCAGACATGACCGCGTCTGAGACCGCAGTTTTCACATCGCCTTAAAATAGTCAAAGGCCTCCCTGTTGGCAGGTATCACGGTGATATCCATTCCATAAATGGAAGTTCATAGCGAAAACTCTAGGCCGATTTGCCAGAGGTGGAAGCTATAATGGGTGAGGAGAAATGTATCGATTCGCACCTTTTGAATGAGGAGCTGTAGGATCGCTTCGAAAATATTGAAAAACGTATCGATCTGGCCACGTCGATTGATAACCGCTATGAGTCCGATCGAGGGTAGGTCGGCAAGCTTAAAAATTGTTAAAGGTACGACGCCGTAAAGATTGGAAGATAACTTTAAATAAAAGTCGGATACATACAGGTTCAATCCATTCCAGATAGCGTTCTTTTGGACGGTCGTAGGCGTAACAATATCCAGTCCACTGCAAGGTGTTTTTTATACCCAACCAGCAAACAAACAAACAAAACCCAGTCCGGCATTTTTTCCAAATTAAATGCGGCCGTTTTTGTAAGGGCAATTTAGGATTCCTTACCGTATCAGGTGCATCATTGAGATGACTACGGATCGTCCTCGCTTCCGCAATATTCTCCTATAATCAAGGATAGATAGGGGGGATCACGCCCAGTGAGCAAAACTATATGGTTAGAAAATGGTAAAACCACCTCGATTGTCCTGCATCGGGTGTAAATTGTCCGCCAAGAAGACTGCGGAAGCGCAGGCAATATGTCATAAAATTCTTCTCTCTCTTCGACCTTTTGAAACCCTGCAGAAACGGTGATATTAAGCGATGCAGGCCTCAGTCTCTCTAGTAGTTTCAACCATCCCTTCAGGTCCGCGTTTTTGTAAATGAATTTCCTGAAACAAAAAACAATAGTATTTGAACCTGGGTTGTCCAGCTTTAAAACCCACCGGGTTTCGTTTGTTCCCGTGTTTTGCCATTTTAAATGTATTGACGGATGAGGATGCCACTTGTAGATAATGCTCAATTCGATATCCTTGCTCACGACGATATTCGTGGTCCAGATCTTGACATTTTGAATGTTATTACTGATAAACCGTAAGGGTGTTACCGTGGTTCGCTGAATCCGCATGGCTGCAACCGGTCCAGACATTATGCACAGTCGGGATACGTTTCCCAAGAGAGCCTAAATGCCTGCCGATTGCAGAAAGACGCCCATTAGCATACCTTATTAACGCCCCGAAAACGATACTTTGCGCCGGGATCCATCATGCCGTAAACTTTCCTCCATAACAGCGATGGTAGTTGCGCTACCGCAAACTTGTCCGGCATGCCTTCTGAAAAAAACCCCACCAAATCGATGGTGGCTGGACAAATAAAGACTTCACCAAGAGCCGCTAAAATCGAGCAGGTTTTAGTGAAGCCGGAAATGGCGTAGGTAAAGATCGGGCCGCGGCAGGGCTGAATGCAATACCGCACATCTGCTGGTAAAACCATATGCAGCGGTAATTTCACGTCTGTGCATCATTGATAACTTTTGAAGTGGCAATCATCCCCGATACTTAGAGACAACATCAAGATGACAACCCAAAACATAGACAACCGCGGCCTTCATTGTCTGCCCAAATCACTCTGCTCCATATTGTCTACAAGCGTTTCCTCTGTAGGTGCAGTTGTTCTGGTTCATACAAAAGCGGAACTGGAAGTTTATTTCATGATAACAGAATGTAACAATAAAATTTATGCAACAGAATCAATACTCCCCGCGGGCCAGTTGGCGCTTCTGCTTCTTCTTAGACTCCTTCTTTACGCGGGCAACACCTTCCGCGGGCTTCGAGACGACGTCTTCCTTCTCGGTCAGGATGACTTCGATGTGGCAGGGAGAGGACATGAACGCTAAACAAGAATCAAATAGCTGTGAAAAAGAAACGAACGGTTAATTCGGCCGTGAGCGCGGTATGTCCTTCTGCGCATTTTAGCGGCACGCTGGACTTGGATGTGCTCGATGACGAGATGGTCGGTGTCCAGGCCTTTGTAGTCAGCATTGCTTTCCGCATTTCTGTAAAATAAAGGTTAATAATGGCGACAACAGAGGGTATTGCGACAATTATAAGTGCTCGAAACGGTGACTGGGCAAACACAGTCTTTCTTTTAAAAAAAGCAAGAAAGGATCCGTATACCTAACTACAATTAGTGCGACAGGATCAAGTGCTCAAAATGGTGGACAGACAAACGCGGCTCTTATTTAAAACAAACGCAAGACAGGATGCGTTTATGTAAACGCAATTTTTGGCCTACGCATCACAAAACGAGCCGTGTTACTATCAAAAGCATACCTCAACAGCTGCAAGATGAATTCGCAGGATTTCACGGGCCAACGTCCTTGGACAACGCCGAAGGTCTTCGCTTGGGCCTTGCGTCCAACGCAGTGGTTGAAGTGGCGGAAAGGGATGATCTCCTTCTTCTCCTGCACGTTCTGGAGGTAGCGCTGGGCACGCTTCAGCGGCATGTGGCGAATGGCCATCGCAACTTCATGGGTGTTCTTGAAGTGGACGCGGAGGTCGGAGCCCCGAGCCTTGCACGATTTCGTGTTGTTCTCGGGTTGAGCGGTGTAGTGCACCCTCACCATTTCCCCAGTCTGAAAAAGGAAAAATTAGAGGTGTACATGAAATCGGTGAAATAAATGACGCTGGAAAACGATAAATAGGCAACAAGCGTGAATTATGGTCAAAATGAGGGTGACGAGCAGCAAAACAGCTTGGAAACGAGATCAAAGCGTTATTCTTCCATTACCGGCAGCTAAAGTCCCGAAAGATGGGGAGAGTTTCCTACCGTATTGGGAGCGCCACAGGACCGCTGGCAGAAAGCCAGGTCTGGCCCGGTTTCCATGCCGTAACGCAACCCCGGGATTCGATTTGATGGGATTAAAACGGAATAAATAATATTTCTTTACCATAAAGAAAATCTAAAATTTACTATTTTGTTAAGTTGATCTTGCGGACAAGAGTATAGGTTTTTTTAGGGCGATGCAGGCTCTGGTGATAGATTTTGAGGCGGTAAATGAGCCATCTACTTCATACACTCCTCAATGTGACACCTATAATTCGAATTGGGTCCTAATACATCACAAAGAAGCGCAGGTATTTTTTGATGGACGGATTTAGCGAGTTTTCAAGGATATTCGGCTTTGTAGCCTAGCTTGAACGCTCGAAAATTTGAGAATAGCTAGTTTCTTTTACACTCTGTTTCAGTTTAACTCTGAAAGAAATGGCGCCATAAATTTTACGGGAAATGAACACGATGCAAGAATGGCAATGATGCCGATCGTCGTTTGTGAGAGACGCGTTCATTGTATGATTTGCGATCTGGAGATCGACGACGTGCAAGCTATCCCCGGAAATGAAAGCCTTCACCTTCCCACTTGCAGCATTGGGAAGGAATTCAAGTTTGTGGTGCATAGATGCTTTATGCCTTTCCAGATGTGAAGTATGTAGCGAAGAGTTTAACAAAGCAGTGAACCTTCGGGTGCATACTTGTGTGGTCCACGAAGCCGAGAGCCAAGGAACGAGCGAAGGTGCATTCCCCAAAATTGTTTTAATGCTTTAGATGGCAAATTCCATTGTTGTATCTGCAATCGAGGATTTATGCGCCGGAAGGCGTTACTCGGGCATTTACAGACGCATTACGTTAGCGATTTGTTTTGCTGTACAAAGTGCAGGGCTTTATTTCATTATAAGGTGAAACGTCATTTCAAGGAGTAAAACAAACCTTTAGCTCGAATTGACACGACATCTTCGGTGGAGCCCTTGTTCCACTCAATTGTCGAATGATTACGATAAGGTATGAAAATACAACACAGTTAGAAGTTGGTTTTAGCTAGTATTTTGTCCAGAATGCTCTACGACGATCTCCTTCGACCAAATGGCTCTACACAAGAGACAGCACGTGCTTCTCAAGTATGGCTATGCCACTAAAACTTTATCGCTTTTTTAGGAGAATGTCGAAAAAGTCTTCATTTGCTATTCCGCTGCCCACCGACGTGCTAAACGGCCGATCCCATGTGTAAGTTGTGGATTTCAGACGTTAGAAAAAGCAAATAAGGAAATTCAAGGAGCCTAAACGTCGGGAAAGCTCATAAAGAAATTGAAAAGGCCATTTTCAGTTGCGAGGTTTGCGAAAAACGGTTCAAAAGGCCTGCCGAGCTGAAGCGTCACTTGGCGACGCATTCAGGTAGAAAATAAAGCGCATTTTTTACGATATTTTACAGGCATTCGCGCATTCCGCTGCGACCAGTGCGATCGTAGCTACGCGCACGAGCGGGGGCTACTGACGCACGTCGAGCGTGACCACGAGATGCGACGGTACGCGTGCCCAATATGCCGGGCGCCTTTCAAAAGCGTAGGTTTCGAGAATTACCTTGTTCTAACTTGATTTAGATCCAAAGTATGGAGCGCCATGCGCAGGCAGTCCATCGCATCGGGCAAAGCGAGGCCGCGCATTATGCCTGCCCGGTTAGTTACCCGTTTTTTGAAAGCAATGTATTTTTAGCAATGTACATGTAAATTTAACAACATCGGTGCCCTGTCTGTGCACCTGAAGCATCAACACGAATCCGGTGAGTGGCGGAGAGTATGATAATTTTTTTAGTTCTTCCCGACCACATGCGGAGGGCCTACGTGTGCCCGTTTTGCGAGAAGATGTTTGTTAAAAATCGGGACTGTTTGGTAAGCCTTAATTAGGTTTAGAAACCGCAATAACAACTTACAGGCCCACATCCGTTCTCACACCATGGAGAAGCAGAATCGGTGTAAGCGATGCGGGAAGAAGTTTTTGTCGCGAAACGGGTTGAAGGTAGAAATGTCAGATTAGCTCGTATTACCGCATTTTCAGACGCATATGGAGATTCATTTGAGGCAGGATATGGTGGACCCGACGCTTGCCATGCATCGTTGTACGGATTGTTTTAAGCTGGTTGGTTTTATGAACTCGAGGGGAAGTACCGTGTTTTCAGCTCTCTTCAGCTGATGCTCTACGTCGTCATAAAGCCATTCACCAGCTTTATCAATGTCGGAGATGCGGGGCCGTAAGTTCCAAGACGCTTCGTTGTAAAAAAAGAGGCCAAAAAGGTTTTAAAAAAAACGATATTTTAGCGACTTCCATCATCGGTGCGTTTGCGACACCACGAAGCGGCATGTCCGGCAGAAGGCGAAAGTGGGTCTATCTGGAGAATTATACTTACTTAATAAAAGTATAATAATCCATCCTTAAAATTGCTCATTTTCCAGACACCTCTAGCGGTTCTTTGATGCAGCTCGGCGAGACGGCTAGCCAGCGCCACGATTCGCCGGTCAGGACGTCGACCTCGAGACCGGCTTCCGTTGCAGGCCTTCCGGTTCATGGACGTGCGCAACAGCCTTGGTACTGCCATTTACAAATTCTAAACTTTAACGCATAACTCCTAATCTTATAAGCCATAATGTATAACTCCTGTGATTTTTAGTATGTACAGTTGCCGTATCTGCTCGCTGACCTTCCCGAATTTCTCGACGTGGCGCGTCCATACCCGCGCCCATTCTGGCCGCCCGCTACGCTCACATATTTGTTGGCTATGCCACAAGGCGTTTTCCAGTTTTCGTAAGTTTTATTTTAATGCTTGTTGAATCAGCATTCGTTTTAGAACAGTTGACGCGCCACAAACAGGTGCACGAGCGGGAAAGGCCGATGAATTGCGTCGTCTGCCAGCGTAGCTTTAGGAATAGGTAAATACTTTTTGGGCTTTTTGTAAATTCTTTCAGAAATCGTTGGCTGGTGCACATGGCCGAGTGCCATCCGGACGTGCGCACGACGGAAACGTTGCCGCACGATCGGACGGGTGCGGCTTCGGCTCAACACCATCAGCACCCGCCGACCCAGGGGGATGCTCAACCAACGCGGGCGCAATCGGCGAATATGTTCGCACCTCAGGTGGGGGAAACACTACAAAAAAACAGAAATGACGAAAATGCGGAGAGCATTTTTGCATTTTTCAGGGCGACTACTATAATGATCTACTGGCCGGTCCAGCCGACGGGATGTACATGATCAATGCGCTCGATTTCGGGCATAACGTGCCGGCACCAGACTTGTCGATGGGCTTTGAACCCGGCCCGCCGGTGCACCAAATGCCGGCCTATGTGATGCCCGCACAACCGGTACCCGAGCCTCCACTTCCGGTGCCTTCTACGACGAGCGCGGTGAGTAGAATGGACTAGAAAAACGATTCACAAAAATCGAAGCAATTATTAAAAGTAAAAAGGCAAAAATAGAGTAAAATAAGCTAGAGAGAAGCTTTAAAAATTTAGGAAGTTTCCAAATTTCAGGCGACAAGCTTGACGCCACGGTGTCCCGTCTGCAGTCATCTCTACGACACGATGGCGCATCTGGTGCAGCACTGCGAGCAGTGCGTTTGAGCTTTTAGGCTTACGAGCGAGACGTTTTCTAGTGACAATCGAGCTTCCGCACGGGATTTAGCCTGATTTTGATACAGAATTTTGCGCTGATTCCGAATCTGGTTTCAAAAGCTGCGAAACTGGCGGATAGAAGTTATCATAGATAGAAGGATAGTGCATTTTGAATGTGAAAAAGGCCATTTCCGGTCGTTTTCGAACCTTTTCGTATATTTTAAAACCAGAATCGGAACCAGTGCGAAATTCTGCACAAAATAAGCTGGGTAAAACTCGATTGTCACTGAAAGGAAGAACTAACATTTGTTTCAGGCTAACCGCCGAGCCGGCTCATATGCTGGCAGTCTACGAATGCCTGGTCTGCGGCGGCAAGCTGAAAGGGTCGGCCACGTTCATCGAGCACATGCGAGAGGAGCATCAGTATGGGTTTACCAGTGATATCTTCAATTTTTGATCTATTATAGAGTCACGTACGATGCAGAAGATACACAACACTTACCGGCTCCCCTGGCGCGAAAGTAAGTGATGAGACGTCGAGCTTGAAAGTAATTTTGCAGAGCTCGACGAGTTAGCGAGCCGGCCAAGACGCAGCTCTCCTGTCCGATATGCCAGAAAACGTTTGCCAGACGCTATGATGTAGATCGACATATGAAAAGCCATACAGGTGGACAGAATTTGGAGTTTTATCCGCGGGTTTAGGCGAGAAGGCATTTGGGTGCGGGCGTTGCGGGCAGCGCTTCTCGACGTCCTACCACTACAATGATCATCTCAGTCGGCACGGCGAGGAGGACAACGGGGCTCGGGCTTTTGCTTGCACTTTATGTGCAAAGGTGGGGTTTGTGTTTATGAAAATAAGGTTCTTTGGCGTTATCGGGGGGGGTGGGACTTTTTCTAAATACTCCATGTTTCGAAAATTGATAGCGGAAGGGTTTCTAAGCGTTTTTACTATTCCGTAACGTAAAAACATTGGAAATGTTCAGGAGAAGCTTAAAAGGATCGATTTTCGACCAAAAATCGCCGTTTTTTGACCAAAATTTCGACGTTGAAAATCTGTCATTTCAATTTAGTTAAATTTTACTAAATACGCCATTAAAATACTTACCATTAGTTACTAGATATTTCTGAAGTTACAAGAAAAGTTCGATCCTCACCCCGATAATACTAAAGTACCTAAAATAATAATAATAAAACTTTGCCGAAAGCCTATAAGGTTAATAATACCTTTAGACATATGCCGCTGCCAGCTCGCTCAAAACGCACATGCGGAAGCACACCGGCGAGCGGCCGCATAAATGCAGGCAGTGTGAAGCGGATTTTATGTGAGAGCTTTTTGGTGCTTAAAGAGATGAGGACGGCATCTGTTGAACCCCCCCCTTGGGGAGGGGGGTTCAACAGGTCCCGCGGCGAGAGAGGGCGCCCAGGGGAGAGGCGTAGAGACATTTTCTTTCCCGCGCGTAATCGATTGACTTATGCCGCCCCTATCTCTTTAAGTAACAGCAATTTTTAGGACTTCCGGTGACTTGTCGCGGCATCTGAAGTGGCATGCGGCCGGCTGCCCGAAGAAGCGCACCGTGCTCAAGCTGCCCGAATTGGCTGCGAGCACCGCAGAAGGTGTGTGTGTGTGTGTCAGAATTTGGCGTTTTCAGCGGTCTTGACGTTGAAAATGCACTATGAAATTCCAATTCTATCATTTAAAATTGAAAAAATGTGAATTGTTTTAATGCGGAAATTAATTTTATTGTGAAAAATTCTACTGAATTTCATGTAGAAGCGTTTTTAAGGATTTAACAGCCGTAAATAACGTTTTAAACATGATAAATGAGTTTTTTGAGGTCAGATTCCGGATTTTAACTAATCTAATTAAACATTTAACTATTTTTTAAGCCTTAACAACAATTTTTAAACCTTAAAAAACAAAAAATTTTTAGGCGATTCTCGCACACGGGAACAGTTGGCGATGACGGTGCGCCAGATTAGCAGCCTCAAGAAACGGCCACTTGAGGTGGGCCTGCAACCAATAAAATCTTATTATTCTAGCTTATTTTATTATTTTATTATACTTTTTATTTATTATCAAATCTTTACAATTGATTCATTTGCAGGTCCACACGTCCAGCGCATTTTCGGCGCCGCTAGGGGATGCGGTAGGGTGCCTGATCGTCAATAGGAACACTTTTTAGGCCACTCGGCAACAGCCCACGTTGTGCTTGATGATCAGCACCTCACCGGAGGGGTATTTCGTCGAGATCAGCGCCGCTCACTCGCAGGATCGGCCACAGGTTGGATGTTTAGAGTTCAAAGTTTAAAATTTCAAAACTTATAATAGGCATTTCACGTGTGCCTCGCTCAGCAGCAACTGCAGAACTCGCCGGACCCGCTCGAGTACCGGCTCGAGCATGTCGTGGTCGCGATTTCCGTCAGCAATGCGCTTCAGGCGTTGCATTTGGTGAGTTCTGTCATGTCTGTCTGTTTTTCTCGCGCTCTCGCTCTCTCCCTCTCTCTCTCTCTCTCTCTCTCTCTCTCTCTCTCTCTCTCTCTCTCTCTTTCTCTCTCTCACTCTCACTCTCGCTCTCTCTCTCACGTACACTCTCTGTGTCTCTCTCACTCTCTCTCGCTCACTATCTCTCACTAGCTCTCTCACACCCTCGCTCTCACTCTCACTCTCACGCTCACTCTGTCTCCCTCACTGTCTCTCGCTCTCTCGCGCGCTCTCTATCTCTCTCGCTCTCCCTCTCGCTCTCTCGCCACGCCGTTGAGACCCAATGTTTATTCTATACAAAATGCCGGGAAAGAAAAGCGCGGTGGACGAGTAATGACATGTTAAATCACACCAGCGCTGACCCCCCGCTCCGCGGGGGTTCAGCGCCCAGCCCCCAGGGGAATCCCATACCCGAAATCCCGAAATCCCGAAATCCCGAAACGCCCCGGCTCCCGGACCCGTCCGAACCGGTCCTGGGGTCCCGCAGCGATCCGGTCGGACGGGCGGGCGGGCGGGCGGGCGGGCGGGCGGACGGACGGGCG